CCTGCCCCGCCCCGGGGAAGGGGATCCAGGCCGTCCGGAGGCGTCCAGCTGTCCTGCCCATCCAAAGGGAGAATTATTGCCCCTGCCCGCGTCCCCTGAATTAGTTCCATTCCGAACGTGATTTATCCCCCTTAAGCGCGGGAATATACAAACAAAAATAAAGAAAAAAGAAAAAAAGAACAACCTTAGGGTGGGGCGAAAAAGGAGGGCGGTGAGTATGCGCGCGCGCGCTTGCGGGTGTTTTTCCCGCCGATGGTCCGATGGCGCGAGATTCACGGTTGATTTTTCGCTCCCCAGCGCGTTTCGCACACCGCAGCGGAGCTGAAAACGCGACCACGCGAGCCGTTTGGTCGATGTGGCGGGGCTCGAGGGTAAAGTGAAAGGGAGCGAGAGAGAGAGAGAGACGAGAAGAAGAGGGGAGGAAGTAGGAGGGGGTCAGCTGAGCACTGCCCGCGGTCCTCCGGATGTAGCGGACTTAAATTCTCACCAAACGCGTCGCATATCCGGGGTGAAAGCGAGCAGGGTAAAGTATGAAGGCTAGAACGAGGGAAAACGCCTCCCCTCCCCCACACTCAACCAAAAAAAGGGTGGAAAAAAGAACAAAAAAATTGGGTGAAAATAGAGAAAAATACACCTTGCAAAAACAATGAAACAATGTAGAAATGGAAAGTGTATTGGCGACAGGGTGGCCGCGAGTAAACTTGTTCAATTTGATAGCGGAAAACTTGGGAACCTTGCCCACAGAGAGGGCTCTGCTAGATTTGAATTCGGGGAAAACGCGTCGCGCAGGGTTGGTATCCCTGAGGCGGAGGGGCGGCTCGGGCGACATCCTGAAATAAGGTGCTCAGTGCTGCCACACGAGACACAGTGCCCCACAACACAAAATTGCCAACACACAGAAAACACGCGAAAAAACAAACGATAACACACACACGCACACACACATACACAGTCAGTCAGTGCCGCGGGAGTGTCCCACGACGGTGGGTCCAGGAATTCGCATATTATTTTGGCACTTTTTTTTTGCAGCGGGATAACGCTGGGAAAAACTAACTCGTGGGAGAGTTAGTCCCATACCCCGACCCATGCATTAAAAACAGAACCATCAACCCTTTGCGGAACTATAGTGAGCAAAGGTTTACTGTCTCTGTTCACTGTCATTTCTTCCTGGACCCAGCCCTGGGACAATTGAAGCACTCTAGGCCGGTCCTGATGAGAAACAAAGGCCAAATAAACTTTGCGTGAAACTCGTCAAACGGACACTTTAGTGACTCCCCGGCGGTGAGTTCTATTTCTTTTCAAGCCACAATATTTTTCATGCCGGCAGATGTTAGTTACGTGACTTTGGGTGCATCGCTGGCTCATTCTAACCTTTCACTAGGCACGGGTGTCGTCTTTTTGTCGCAGCAGAAGAATATCACAGATGAGTGGCAGCCTGAAAAGTACAGCAGCATATTTTTCATGAGCCAATAGTTTCAGCGCTGTTGTGATATTGGGTGCCGTTGAAGACGGAAGTGGTTTTTAACGATTCACCTGTTACGACGACCACCTTTGCGCGAGTATTCGCATGCACTTATTTGTACGTATCTATTGGATGCCCGTCGAAACGTCTGACGCTGCCGAAAGCTACTGCATTGCATAACCAGCTTTACCCGATCCTGATTCAGGTGATAGGATCAGATTCAAACAGTGGTCGTGATGGCATGGGGAACTACACCCGTAAAACCTGGGTGCTAGAAGAATTTTCCATCATGCTCGAAAAGTGCGCAAGATGCACTTGTTTTTCCGTGAAGAGGGCTTTGAAGTAAATAGATCAAACGGCACCCTGAAGCTAGTCTGCGTTAAAACCGTTACTGTATAAAGGGGTAGTTTAAATCACGCCACATATTTTCATGCGCTAAACTGCACAACTGCTCCACGCAAGAAAACATGCTACAGAAGATGAGGAAAAATGGAAGAGGTCGAAGGAATGGTGCACAAGGAAGGAGGAAGGATGCAATAGAAGTTCAAAATGGAACATTCATCGATAAATCCGGACCAAGTCATAAAAGCTCTCTGCATTAATGGTTTGCTCCAGAGTCATCGACACAGTGTTAATGAAACAGGGAAACATTCGCACACCACAGTGCTGTGGTATAGGTGAGGTAAGTAATACAAGAGCATGAGTATCAGCTGTAAGAAAGACGGGAAAAGTAGGCCAAGACACATCCAAAAACACCGATCAGCCGCAGCAGAGGAAAGGGCACGATGCTACGACCCAAACTGGACCTGAACCTGAACTCCTACAGTTTTCTTAGGGGGGTATGAAATCTTTTAGTAGTTGCGGATATGTTATGCATAGGAATTTGTTCGATCGGTAAGAAAGCCGTTGCAAGATCAAGATCTAAACAATATGTTCTAGTCTAGAACCTGATAAAACCACAATGCGGGAAGTGACATAGTTTTTAAATGGGTGACAATAAGACCATATCCATTATAACTTTAAATTTTCAGAATTTCGTGGTTCAGTTTGGTTAAAGAACACCGACAGAGGCAGGAAGAGGGTACTTAAAATCTGTAACATCATCTAGGATGGGACCAGTGCTGAAAAATAAATAAGCCCGCATGTAGCCATCACACTGGAACAAATGTAAGAAGTTGGAGTTGGAATAGTATTTAGGAAGTACTTTTAGTAGCATTAGTAGAATTAAGAAAATATTAAACATTTGTATT